TTAAACTTTTCAACAAGATCTAGTGAATATATATTTTTATTATTTAATAAATCTAATGCCACTAATAAAACGAACCGCCAGTGTTACGGCTTTCAAATAACTACAGTCTTCTACAGTAGAGGTCAGTAAAGACAAGGTCGTAAAATTGCACAATACGCATACGGAAATTTACCTACAAACGAAATGTCATTTTCTCATAAAGTACATTTAAAAAATATTAGATATCATTTACGATAAATATTGAGTAAATCAAAGATTCGCGACGCTAACAATAAGTAAAGTTTCTTCTATCAAGTAAAAATATTGATAAGTGCAGAACATAACCGATTGTTGATAATGATTTTGAGATACTAACATTGCATCCTGATTAAATTATATTTTTGTTTGTCTGATTATTCTGATTGTAAATAAAATAATGCCACTCTTTTCGATTTTGAATAAAAATTTTTTACAATTATAAAAACAGACAACTTATGCATGCAAATTTGTATGAGATTTGCCTGAGTTTTGTCCGTAAGATATGCTTAGTCTGTGCTTTTGCACGCAAGTGGTTAGCAATTTTATTATACACTGCTCAAAAGAAATATGGCATAGAAAAATTTTATGCAAAAATTGCTCTCATGCACTCCGTCAAACTTTGTAATTTTCAATATAACAAACATGCCCTCACATTTAAGGTGTTACAGTGGTAGGGATGCATCACACCTAAAAACGAACTATAGTATCTTAAAGTAGAGATTTCAAGCTTTAATTTAAAAAAAAGAACATAATTTTACGATGATTTTTCGCGGAGTTACCGTCAGTCAAAGTTGACTCCAATTTTTGCATAAAATTTTTCTATGCCATATTTCTTTTGAGCAGTGTATAAAATAACATTAAAAAGCGAGAACATAATGTACCATTTTTTTTACACATTACATACCTACGCAATAATTCGGTATAATAGGATGAATACATGCCTCAGTGGTCGAATTGGTGAGACGCCCGCCTAGAGTGTGGGGAAGTCCAGATTCAAACCCTGGCTGAGGTAATATTTTTCGCAGTAAATTTCTTTAATTAGAATTTGCCAGTTAGCGTCGCTTAGCAATTCTTCTACATTGGTTAATCATGTACGTACGTCAAATAATTCTTCACGTTATAATAAGATGAAATTACTTATAATGTTAGATCTACGGTGTCACCAGAGAGAAACCTGAGAGCGGCCACGCCGGCGTTTTGATAACGTTTCGGGAGACTATTTTGCGCGCTCTTACGCCCATTTTTACTTTTGTAACTATTTTATTACGCATTCTCTGACTCTGTCGATAAAATTTCCACTTGGTGCGAGTCTGCGCCATGCATTCTGACATCTAATTTATAAAATTTACACTGTCTACGTCAGAAAAGTTGATGTAAATATCGTGCGCAGATAATTTATGTTAATGTAATTTTGAATTTCACAGCGCTATCCTGAAAAGTAGGCGTAGCTTGGACGCCCACAACCCAGATAACATGCTTGTCTAAAAGACATCTTCAAGACTTCTTTAAAACGTCTTTAAGATATCTTTTAGACGTGTATGTCTAAAAGATGTCTAAAAAACGTGTTAAAGACATGCATGTTGTCTGGGAAAGTGGTGACTCTATCGGCGGTGTCAGAAGATGCATAGCAAAATAGTAAAAATGAGCGTAAAGGCGCGCAAAACAGTCTCTTGAAACGGTATAAAGTGAAACGCCGGCGTGGCGGCCGCTCTCCAGGTTTCTCCATGCACGTCCACTTCCGCGATAGAAAATAAATATGGCGGCGCGAATCAGCACGATTTCAGAACTCACTAGAATCACCAGCCCCTGAGCATCACCAACTTCATTGACGCGTCGCGTGAAACTACCTAGATCGAATCTGCTCGATAATGCTGCCAACGCAAGAGCGTGAAGCACAGCGGCAAACACCTTTTCAACTTCTCATGGAAACATCGGGCTTTTGTTTACGATTGATAATTTGACAGTCGTTGCGGAATTTAGCAAAGTCTTTCGAAATATGGAAAATAATTCGCTTAAGGAGCAACCCGTAGAAAACACAGGTACGCTGGCGTGGTGTGTGATTGAAAAAAATCAAGCCGGGTAATTTATTATCCTGCTCTTCATTGCAGATGTCAACCAGGACGAGTTGATACTTCAACAACAGAGACGTATCGAGAAGGAGGTTAATATATGTTTATGTCACGTTTAAAGTGCACCTTCGAGGCGCGTATTAGTTTCGTGAAATTCGGGCGATTAGAAATGAGATGTTTCGCATATTCTAATTAGCCTCGCTACCTCTTCGAGATGTCTTTCCTGTTTCTGCGACAGAGTTTCAACATGAAATGTAGATTATTTATTTTGCAATTTACAATTTCCCGTTGGATGAAACATTTAAAGAATATATAATTACGTTTGAGCCGTTGCTTTCGATAGTAGAAACTTTATTCTCCAAATACCATCCTGACAATTGTCGAGGGTGTTCTCTTAAATGAAGACTAGAATTTCCGTGAGACTTTCACTCTTTCAGATATGTATAACTATCTTCCGTGTTTCAGATCTCGGAATCTATAGCACTAGTCGGCGAGAAGGAACCGCTAAAGAGCTTAGAACAGGAATATGCGGAAGACGATGTGTATCTCACGAAGGCAAAAGCCTTGGCTCAAAAGTATTCTTACATTAGGAGAACTAGACCCGACGGCAATTGTTTCTTCAGAGCGTTTAGTTATGCTTATTTGGAGAAATTAATTGGGAACAAGGAGGAGTACGATAAGTTTCGTGATCTAGCTTTCAAAAGCAAGGACAGCCTTGTAAAACTAGGTTTTCCCCAATTTACAGTCGAGGACTTTCATGACACGGTGAGACTTTGTGTTTTCATCCTCGAGTCGACCTTGCAAATATATCAATGTGTCGTTGTAAGGCGATTTCTGGCTATTAGTTTGATACGTGTGCCAAAGTGTGCCAGAGTGTACACTCGGCGTCATGAATGCTTTTACACCTGAAAATAACCGTTAAGTTCTATATATTCCGATTGAAAATTTCATTTTATTGAAATAAATTTTCCTATTATGATAGTTTTAACGTCTTTCTTCAGGTGTAAAGGCATTCATGACGCTGAGTATACACTGGTACGCTCACGTTTGGTACACTTTGGTATGTGTACCAGACAGTTACCAAAAATCGCCTATAATGTATGTACAAATTATAAGAATCCACATTTTGCAAAAATATATATAGTATACGTGTAGTATAGCAATTTTCAGAAGATACAGTACATTATATTATACATGTGTACAGCTTTAAGTGTTATACAATGTAACTTTGCCTTTGTAGAATTTATCACGTGAGGAACGTGAGTTGATGTTGATGAACTTTTATTACAGTTTATGGAAGTCATCGACAAAGTAGGCGGTGGCACAGAGTCCAGTCACATGGAATTACACAAATTGTTCAACGAACAAGGTTATTCCGATTACGTTGTTGTGTATCTTAGATTAATTACGTCCGGTCAGTTGCAGCGCGACGCTGACTTTTACCAACACTTTATCGAGGGGGAGCGTACTATCTCGGAATTCTGCCATCAGGTTCGTGTCTAACGTTCGTCTCGTCGATCTTTCTTCTATCTGTTACTGCTCTAATATAATAGTTGCTTTCCTTTTACATGAAAACTCAGATAAATCTCACTTGTGAGGTCATAACTCAGTTGAATGCATGTTCCTTTTGATTCTTGAGAGGTGAGATTCAACCAGATTTAACTGAGTTTTTGCACACGATCAAGACCGTGTGCTTTAGTGAGTTTAATAGACTCACATTAATGATGTTATATCTGAGTATAAAATACTCACGTAACTGAGTGACTCAGTATCACTTGAGTGTAAAAGGATAGCAGCTACTATTGATTCGATACTGGCTCTAATATGCTCTTTGTTTTTTTTTTTTAGGAAGTCGAACCAATGTATAAGGAATCTGACCATATTCACATTATAGCAATGAGTAGTGCCCTAGGAACTGGTGTTCGGGTTCGTTACATGGACAGGGGTGCAGGAACCGAAGTGACTGCTCATGACTTTCCTGAAGGTGCTATACCAGCTGTGCATTTATTATATCGTCCTGGTCACTACGATATCCTTTATCCTTGATGAATCTGACGTTATGCAGTACATTTTTTTTAAACCTAAAAATAATTTTTGACGGCCAGATCTACTTCAAACTCTATTTTCAAAAATGTTTTAGTTCTAACGCAATATGTTACCTTTAATATAAAAGAAAAGGGAGAAGCAAGTAAGTCGATTTTCGTGTACACATTTTAGAAATTTCCAAGAGCTTCTGTTCGTGTATGGGTTTGTCGATATATCCTATTGTTTATAAGCGTCATTTTAAACTTTAAGACTAATTGTCTGGAATAAATATCAAAGAAATCGATATACCATGTTACTTAATTTCTATATTCTGTTTCTTCTTCTCTTTCTCTCATCTGGACACTTACACAATCGCCCAAGGCCCGGTTTGTCGCTTTCTGATAAACTGTTAACCAGAGTTTAATCGATTCTCCGTCTCTTCTTAGATAATAATATAGAAAAAGATAGTTGACCAACTTCCTTATTAACAGTTAATCAGAGCACGAAGAACCAGGCCTAAAACGATGAATAAATAGCAGGTTTCGCGGCAATCTTAGAAAAGATATTTCAAATTTGCATTTCTTTCTTGCAGAATTATATTTTATTTACACATATATATATATTAATTTTGTCAAACGATATATGCAACGCAAACACATTCTTCCTCAGTCTGCAAATATATCACAGAAATTAAAGACATTTTATAATCTTTTGTATACTCGATAACACAAGAATTCATGGCAAAAAGAGGAAAGACTGCATCACGTAAATAAATAATTTCTAAACCGCACATTGCAGGTTTAGAAAGGTTCTTGCGGCGTATATTCTTAAAACTAATCGATGGCTGCGTTCAGCAGAAAAAGCTGCTTTGCGACTGCTGTAAAATTCATGCATCTGATTGGCGTATGCTCTTAAATTCACTCAAGCTTTAAGAGAATACGCCAATCAGATTCAAGAATTTTGCAACAGTTGCGAAGCAGCTTTTTCTGCTGAACGCAGCCAATCCTGCGAAATACAACATTCATACCACATACGTAGTTTACAAACACATCTGCAGATATTCATTGTAGAGAGCTCTTGTACACACGCAAGATAAATACGTATGTATTAATACTGCGTTATCGTTGCATAGATCGTACTTGTTCGGTAACTTGCTCCAGCATCGCCGAACTTTTGTCGATCGCGTCCATTTGATACTCCAAATGAGTGGCGATGAGCGCGAGCTTCTTCAAACTGGATTCTATTGTTTCCAGTCCGTGCTCCTGTTGCGCAAAGTTCCTCGCCGCATGCGTTAAGATCTGCAGTGGCGACAGAATTGTTGATTTAACATTACAATAATCAGCTGGCTCTCTTAGATGCAAAGTTACGTTACCTCGCTACTTCTGGAACCCCGTTGTATCTGCCTGGCGAGCGAGGCAATGTTATTGACGTTAACTTGCACCCTGTCCGCCAATCTCATCTTCGACTCGATGAACAAGCTACGCGCGCTTGTGCTGGACGCTGAAGCCATACTGTATTGCTTTTCATTAATTGTCGGGTAAGTCTTGCTCCTAATATTATCCAGGATAGACAGCGCGTGCTGTTGATTGTTATTCTTACAAGAGAGACTGTTTCATTATCTG